TTTTTTTTTTTTTCCCTCTCGCTCTGCTGCTCAGTCGGTGAGGAGGGAGAGCGCCCCTGCGTGTGAGTGAGAGTGAGAGTGAGAGTGAGAGTGCAGCACTCAACGTGTGCTACGCCGTCGAGCCGCGCTGATATCGCCATCGCCTGCCACCCTCCTTCCCCCTTCGCCATCACCTGCTATTTTAGCAACCCCCAACTTCGTTCATATACACAGCAAACACCGGTTGAAAGGCAGTCACAGCTCCTTTCAACTTCTTTACCAGCGCTCTTACCAACAACCCACCCCTCAAGGCGTCGACTTGTTCCAGTCCGACTCCTTGTCCTTGTGCCCCTAGTCGCCCAACATGTCTAAGTATGTCTTCATCTACGACCGTCCCTGCTGCTGGTGCGGCTACGGCGTCAACTCGGCAATCCAAAAGCATGCGCCGTCTTGCTCCACTTTTGGATGCGCAACAGCGACAGCCAGGCTGCTAGGCTGCAGGTTGCCCAGGTTGCCCAGGTTGCCCTAGCCGATGGGCTGACAGGCTTCCGCGAATCGTGCGCGTCTCTTGGTCTGCATCCGACGATGCACATTCGCACTGCCGCTGCGACGGGACGGCTTGCATTTGTCTCCTGTGTTATTGCTGCTGCGAACCTCGTACTGACCACCCTCGCTTATCTTCCTTCACAGGCCCGAGGAGACTCCCGCCGCCGCCGCCCCGGCCGCTGGCAACGACCTCCAGATCGCCGATGGCGAGATCGAGACCAACTGGGACACCGTCATTGACAACTTCGACAACATGGAGCTCAAGGACGAGCTCCTCCGCGGTGTCTACGCCTACGGTTTCGAGCGCCCCTCGGCCATCCAGGCGCGCGCCATCGTCCCCGTCATCAAGGGCCACGACGTGATCGCCCAGGCCCAGTCCGGTACCGGCAAGACCGCCACCTTCTCCATCGCCATTCTCCAGCGCATCGACCCCAGCATCAAGGCCGTCCAGGCGCTCATCCTCGCCCCCACCCGCGAGCTCGCCCAGCAGATCCAGAAGGTCGTCATCGCCCTCGGCGACTACATGAAGATCGACTGCCACGCCTGCATCGGCGGCACCAACGTCCGTGAGGACATGGCCAAGCTCAACGAGGGCGCCCAGGTCGTCGTCGGCACCCCCGGCCGTGTGTACGACATGATCAACCGTCGCGCCTTCAAGACCGACCAGCTCAAGATGTTCTGCCTCGACGAGGCCGACGAGATGCTCTCGCGCGGCTTCAAGGACCAGATGTACGAGGTCTTCCAGCTGCTGCCCCAGGACACCCAGTGCGTCCTCCTCTCCGCCACCATGCCCCAGGAGGTGCTCGAGGTCACCAAGAAGTTCATGCGCGAGCCCATCCGCATCCTCGTCAAGCGCGACGAACTCACTCTCGAGGGTATCCGTCAGTTCTACGTCGCCGTCGACAAGGAGGAGTGGAAGCTCGACACGCTCTGCGACCTCTACGAGACCGTCACCATCACCCAGGCCGTCATCTTCTGCAACACGCGCAGAAAGGTCGACTGGCTCACCGACAAGCTCACCTCGCGCGAGTTCACCGTCTCGGCCATGCACGGCGACATGGAGCAGGGCCAGCGTGAGGTCATCATGCGCGAGTTCCGCTCCGGCTCCTCGCGTGTCCTCATCACCACCGACCTCCTCGCCCGTGGTATCGACGTCCAGCAGGTCTCGCTCGTCATCAACTACGACCTCCCCTCCAACCGCGAGAACTACATCCACCGCATCGGNCCTCCTCGCCCGTGGTATCGACGTCCAGCAGGTCTCGCTCGTCATCAACTACGACCTCCCCTCCAACCGCGAGAACTACATCCACCGCATCGGCCGTGGCGGTCGTTTCGGCCGTAAGGGTGTTGCGATCAACTTCGTCACCGCCGACGACGTCCGCATGCTCCGCGACATTGAGCAGTTCTACTCGACCCAGATCGACGAGATGCCCCTCAACGTCGCCGACCTCATCTAAGCGTCGTGCCATCCCTTGCATGCGCGACGCCGCAAAAGTCCGCACGTCGTCGCGTCGCCCCGCCCCTGGTGCGTCGACTTGGACACACCACCGCCTTTCGAATGCAGAGGCGCCCCGCACCTGGCGCCCTCGAGTCGGTGTTTCTTTCTCCTCCCCATGCTCACCCCCCAACCTGGTCTTGCTCCGGCGAGATCGCTTACGTCCTAGCGCTTCCCTCCACGTCCATTGAGGCGTGGATCTGACCGTAGAACCCTCATATGCCCTAGGCGCTTTGTCCTTTGCTGATCTTACCGGCAATGGCAACCCTTTCTTGTCCCCTTCTGCGCATGTCGCTGCTCGTGTCGCTGCTCGTACGTCTTGAGCTCAAAGTCGTTGAGATTGGTGAGAGAACACTAACTTACTGCAAAAGCTGGGTGTGCCGGGCTTTTACGAGGCGCGGTTGGCTTCGTCCATGTAGACGAGGACGGGGGCTGTGCGGAGTTCGTCGCGCAGGGGTGCGGAATGGAGCTCTGGCTCGCACCACGGATTGTCGGCGGCCATCTGGGCGGCGAGCGAGGCGTTGGCATCGTCGGACGCCCAATGGAGCCATCCCGCCGGGTGCAGCGCCACCTCGCTGCCCGTGGGCGTGCGGATCGACGACGTCTGCGCCGGGCTCGACGCACTGAACGCCGGCACGGGAGGCCACAGCGGTGCACCGAACGCGGCGTACTCGCGAACGGCGCGCAGCTCGTGCAGCGTCGCTGTCAGCGTGCCGCTCAGATGCGGCCATCGAGCCAGCTATTCGAGTGGCGTGAATATAGGCGCGTCAGTACACACAATAGGAGGGGTGCGAGGGTCGGTGCTTACACTGTGCTCGCCAAGCTCGATCGCAGCCTCGACTGTCTTGGCCCAGTCCGGGCGCGAGGCGTTGTGCAGCGCTTGCTGCTGATGGATCCACGCAAATCTGTGAGCCAGTTCAATACCCGCAATGCAAGAGTCAGCTGTTCGGTCCCAAGAGAGATGCTTCCTATCTCTGTGTGCACTTACGCCGCCAAGAGATCCGCCAGCACCGCTGCGTCGAGTGCGTGGTCGCCGAGCCATCCGAACTGCACCCATGCAAAGTGATACAGCGACAGCGCCGTCGCCGCGAGCGGGCCGGCATTGGCGAGCCAGCGCCACAGACGCCTGTCTGCATTGTGGCGCGCCAGCAGACGCGGAAACACGCCGTAGAGCTGCACAGCCAGCTTGGCTCGCAGCAGGCCATCCTGTTCGCGCGTCGCCGAGTCGAAGCCCGCACCCAGCAAGAGGGTGCACTGCTCCAACACGTCCGACAGCTGCTTGAGCGTAGTGAGCAGCGCCCACACCGCCTCGGCGTGCTGCATGTCCGTGAGGCAGCCAGTGGGCATCGAGAAGAGGCACAGCGTCTGGTACTCGAGCCGAGCCACCTCGACCTGGAATGAGGATGCGAAAGAACGCATCTCCAGCTTGCATCGCGATGCGTCCATGGTGTCCAGACTAATCACGCTCGAGACTTCGATCTGCAGACTGCCTCCCATGATCGCCGTCTCTGCGTGCCCACACGAACAGCTCATCAGATCAGTCTCGCTGTTCTTGCCAATGCTGTCCGGGACTGCGAACACTCACGCAGATGAATCCAGCTATAAGCTCGGTAGAAGATGGTCTGCAACAGGAACATCAGAAAGATCACGCATCAGTGCTCTACTCCTTTTGCCGGCGCGGCTGCACAAAAACATAGTTGTGACGCATCTTACCATGGCATCGCAGAGGAAAGCAGAGGCCTCAGATGCCGCTCTGGTCTGCCAGACCTTCATAAAGCCGGTCAGCACCTTGTCGAGTCGCAAGAGGTCCTCGACACGACGCTTGACAAGCGCCAGAAGCGTCCAGAGCATGATCGCCGCCACCCGCGTCATGTCGGCGGCAGCAAAAAACATGCCGGCGGTTTCTTTGACCGACGCCTCCATACGGCTAGTTGGAGCTTTGATCGCAGCTTGTCCCGCAAGCCCTGATCTCATGGCGAGAATCGAGTACAGCTCCTGCATGGGGCTGTTGCGGCAGAATCAATGTCAGCTCCTCACTGCCTCCGGGATCAATTTCTCGCAAAAGCAGAAATGCGCTTACAGAGAGGCCATAACCGCGACATTGTTCGCGCATTCATGCGTTCGACCCGTGGTGACACTGTTCACCGCCAAGCACACGGCAGGGGCGACGGCAGGGAAACAACTTCCAAGGAGCTCCATAAAGCCCTCGAGAGCGGGCACTGCGGGCGCTTGCTGGCCGCTCGATCGAGAAAGCGGCGCTGCGTTCTTCCTCTTGTCCTTTGTAGTGAGAGCAGGCGAGGCCGGCCTCTCCCGTCGCTGATTGTGCGTATATGCGACATTCCCTTCATGCCTGTGTGTTTGCGTGCCGCAGAAGAAGATGTCGCATCGAAATGAGGAGAGACGATGACCAGCAGAGGCGGTACGGCTCCGCGTCAACATGCATGCTCAACAGCGTGACTTGAAGTGTTGCTTGAGGGACTGGACTGACTTGAGTTCTTGCTCCGTCCAAATCGCCTGTTCGCCCGCATGATTGTTCGAGGCCTGTGGTTTCGCCATGCAGATTGTTAGCGACGCGACGAACCTGCATAAGAGCCACAAAGTGCTGAGCTCACCCGATGAGCGACCAAGACGCTAAACTGACTGAGCGGGTCGTGATTCACCAGCCGAACCACATCGAGCTCTTCCTGCAGCACACTATTGCGGCGTGTGCTGTCCTGCAGCTGATCGTATAGTCTGCAATTTGGCAATCCTATCAGCTTAGCTGACAATCACGCAGGCGTTCCACTTCCACGGCGAGGGCCGAACTCACTGTAGCAGATTCTCTCGCGAGACGACATTGATGGGGAAGGCTTCGCATGCTACGCCGCCCTTGATGCAGTTGCTACAGTGAGGCAGGCCATTGTCGCACCTTTGCTTTCGCGCACGACACCGGGTGCAGGCGCGCAGCGATCGCTCTCGCTTGGCAGCGTCGACCTCGGACGCACGAGGCGGTACGGTCGTCCGTTTGGCTTTTCGACCTTCACGCTTTACCTTGACCATACTTGTAGCCCTCTAGTGCCCAGATATCGTTACACGAGCAATGGCGTAAGACAGAACCGACCTTTCTAAGGACACCTATGAGTTGCCGATGGAGACTTGAGCGCGGGCAATGACCATCCTCACCTTATATGTCTCATGGTGCGTACTTCGGCCGTCAGGTCCGGCTCGTAATTGCTCCCCTGCCACTTCTCAAAAAAACGCCGTCGAGGGTCTCATCTTGACAAAAGGCCCTGTCTGCTCCTGCAGTTCCCGTAGCCATACTTGCGACGACCAGGCTGTTGAGAACATTCAACAAACGAGCGGAAGGAGAAAACGCGCGGAAGGAGGCACTCAGGACAGCGTTTCTGACGGCGCTGACTGTCGATCTTTGAGAAGTCACATTGCCCGAGCGTGGGAATGCGAGCAAACCATCTTTGTCGGCATCCTGAGTGTCACAGTCGCTCCTCTGCGATCTTGTGCATCTCGTGTGCCGCCTCTTTTTGAGACGCATCGATATCGGAGCTTCCCAGGGACGCCAGAGTCTCTCGTTCCTGGCCCCGAACGTTTTGCCGCTCTGTTAGCCGCGAGTTTGTGGCTCTCACAGACCGCACGCATGATTGGATCGACCACTTGGATTTGAGGTACACCTGAGAAGAACGATGCTTGCATCTAAGTGATCACACGTCTATGTCTGCCAGAGCGATGGCGGGGTCAGATGTCAAAGTCGTAGGCCAGGATGCCGTCGACATTGGGCAGCAGGACCGTCTTGGAGAAGCTGTAGATTGCGTTGCGATCCGAAATGGCACACAGCCGAGCGAGAGCGGTGTCAGCATGCATGCCCACGAGGGGGGGAAGCGAGTCGGAACGGGGCCGACGGGAGGCTGGTGCCTGAATACGTACTTTCGGTGCTCATCATCGTCGCGGTACGCCTCGTAGTCCTCGCGTGTTGCGAAGACGCTGTAGAGACCTGCGCATTGAAGGTTCCGTCGGGCCGAGAAGCAGGAACAGTAAGGAAACAGAAACCAATGCAGAAGCGGGATCAGGAACAGGAACATAGAGGCAACAGGGCACCCGTCAGTACTCCGCTCGTTTGCTACCCTACGCCACGTCCATGCAAATCCACACTCACCCCAGTTGTATCCCTCGTTGCGGCCGGGGTAGGCAGGCGGCCCCCACTTGATCTCGGTGGCCTTGGATGCGGCGATGGGAAGATCCTTGAGCGTCTCGCACTTTTGCTTGAGCTCGTCGAAGCCGTTGGAGAGCACGGCCGACTTGACCTTGACGAGGACGATGTGGACGACAGGCATGTTTGCAGTGTAAGAAGGCTTCGGACGAGATCCAAGGTGACTTGCAGGTGGTGTGGGAAGGTGACCTCCAGCTCGGATGGCACGGGCACTGGAAGCAGCCTCTTTATGCTTCGCTCCCCCGCAGACTCCACATCTTTCCCATCAGCAGCTCTGTGGTTCCTGCCGCCCCGCAAGAGAAGTGGATTTTGTGATTTTTGCGACCCGACTTTCGAGCAAGGATTTCGCGGTGGCGCGACTTTTTTTATTTTTTATTTTTTATTGTTTTCGAAAATGCCGGCCTGAGGGCGCGAAGAATCTGACGCAGCTTGGGAAAGTGGAAAAAGTGCGGTTCAGGAGCAGCACAGCTCTGTCGCGAGACACAACGCGGCGGCTCAGCCGACGCAGCCCGCCGTCGACGGATCACTCTGCAGCAGAGTGGCCGTAGACGCCAGATGCAAAGCACACCCTTCCTGCCGCTTCAGCCAGCCCTTCGGATGTTCCCCAAGCAACATCCGCTCTTCCCATCTGCATCCGATCCTTTTCCTCCGACAACCTCCTCGTTCCTTTCACGAGATCACAGTTCCGAGCGCCTTCACTTCCCTCTCTGCGGACCATCACATTTGCACGGCACGGCGGCGGACCGGCTCATTCACCATCGGTCCGCGTTTCCGCGTTCCCACCAACTTAGAGTTTCGCATCGCTCCCACCGCCATCTGCTCTCCAGTTGGACGCTGCTCAGCTGCAAGCGCAAGGTTCCGTCGGATCAGCAGATCAGCTTCGGGCACGAGTCCATGATCAAACCCTAGCCCGACCCAGCTCACACCGAGCCTCAGTCCGAGCCCATAACAACAAGGTTGGATCCCCACCGTCGCTCGCCGACTCGGCCCCGTCTCGCAGAGTGCGCGGTGTGGCGCAGCACACGTCCGTTGGCGCAGACCACGCTGCAGAGGCAGAGGAGCTGCTCTTGCGTGCATCCGGCGCAGCTGCATCGGCATCCCGGCAAAACGGCCCCACCTTCATGTCAACTGGCGGCACTCACTCTCATCATGCAGAAACATCCTCCAGCAATTTGAGCGGCTCCCACCACAGCGGCGCAGAGAATGGCCACGACGCTCCAGCTGCAGGCACCAACGGCGACGCATCGCACGCCGAGACTTCACGCCAAGGATCCACCTCGGGCGAAAGATCCGTTTCTCCTCGCAATGAGGCAACGCCAGCCGCACCAGTCAAGAGGAAGCGCCTCGCTGCAGAGTTAGCCTTCTCCAGTCCGGGACCCGCGTTTCAGCTGCAAAAGGATGCCGAAGCCGACGAGCAGCTGACCAGCGACACTCCCGGTCGGGCACGCCGACCCCGTCGCAGCACTACGCTCAACGGCGGAGGCACGAGTAGTCTCACGAGCAATCGAAGGGCGTCTCAATCGCGTCCCCAGCAAGTCTCTGCATCGTTGCGGGACGAGGAACCCTTCGACGCGAAACCTAGACTGACGCCGACAATCTCACCCAAACCTTACGCCAACGAAGCCGACCTTGACGCGCCAAATGAGACGACTCGGATCGGCACGGAGGCAGGCCCCATCGCCTCGACCAGCTCAAGTCGATCGGATCGATCCAGATCGAGGAGCAGATCGGCCTTCCAGCAAGACGAATCGGAGACGCAGTCGTTCTCCGATCAGGGCCAAGCCGAGTCGCCTGCGAAGCCTCCTCTTCCACTTCGTACAAGGCCACAGATCACCCCGATTGCAGCACACGATGCTGCCACGCCGCTGCCACAGATCCTAGAGCGCCGTAGACACGAGAAGGTCGCCGTCGCTCAGTCGGATCTCGAAGAGGTGCACGACCGCCATGACATGCTCGTACGCGAGCTCTTCCACCTGACCAAGTTTGTCACCATGGTCGGCTACGACCCAGACGAAGCGCGTAACGACCAGAGCGACGTCTTCACGACTTTCAAGCATGCCCACGATCTTCGCTTCAGCCTCGACGATGCCGGCTCAGGCGCCGAAGCTTCCGGTTCAGGCCGTGTCACTCGACGCCGCGTCAATGCCAGGCTCGAGAGCCTCTCGCTGAAACGCCCGCCTCCTCCCACCAGTCCAGCCACGCGCGCTACTTCTGCAAAGAACGGCAGCAAACGCCGCTCCAGCGACAGATTCCCCGGTCGTGCTTCGTCCAGCACTGCTGAGCCCGAAGCCCGCGGCAGCACGGCAGATGCATCCGAGGGCGCAACCAGCGACGACAACAGCCAAGATGAAGATGACATCTCGGATATGAGCGACAGCCAAGCAGCATCCAGGAGGGCAGGGAAGCAGAAGAGCAGCAGAGGTCGGTCCAAAGGAAAGCAGAAGCAATCGCGGACGACGGCGCCCTCACGCAAAAGGCAATCTTCTTTTGCAGACGATTCTTTCGACACGCCTGCAAAGCGCAGCAGCGGTGCTCGCAAAAGCAAAGCGCTCGACGAGCTCGATGCCTTCATCCTCCGACATCAGCCTCGACCGCTTCCCGAACAGGCTCCTCCATTGCACATCTTGGCTCCGCATCAAGTTCCAGCTCTCAAACGCTTCGGTGGCGACATCAATGCTCTCTGGACTTCGTTCGATCTGCTGCGCGATGGCGAGGGCGGCCGCGATCCGGCCGAGGTCGAGGCCGAAGATCTTCAGACGTATCTCCGCAGGGACCAGAGGTGGCGTGCGGGTCTACCGATCCATCCCGAGTCCGGCGGAATCGCACGTCACGTCCCTGCCAAGGCTGCACGCACGACCAAGTCGCATCACGACCACCTGCTCGATGCTGTGGCTGCTAGCTACCAGCCCATGCGGCAGTACGCCAAGTCTCGGCAGCAGAACGCGCGCAGAGTGGCCCGCATGGTGGCCCAGCACTGGGAGCGTCAGCTCGGCTCGTCGGAGCGCGAGAAGAAGGCAGAGGAGAAGCGCATCCGCGCGCTGGCAAAGTGGACATTGCGTGAAGTGCTCAAGCAGTGGCGCTTGGCCGTCAACGTGGTCAGGGCGCGTAAGGCGGCAGCCGAAAAGGCCGAGAAGGAGAAGCTCGACAAGGAGCAGCTCAACGCCATCCTCGAACAGAGCACAGCCATGCTCAAGAAGCAACACCAAGTCATGACAACCAACGCCGACGGCTTCTCGGACAGCGACATGGATGGCAACAGCGATCGCACCAGCTACGGCAGCGACGATTCCACCGAGGCGGCCGAGTCAGAGGATGAAGCCAGTGACGCGGACCCTGACGCTGACGTCGACGAAGGGATTGATGCTCGTGATGGCTCGGAACCTGCTACAGTTGAAGCATTGCCAGCTACAATCGCAGAAGTCGACGCCATCGACGACGCCACGTCTGCAACAGGCGCAAGCACTCCAGCCGCTGCCGAGACGCAGCCTAGTCCTGTCCATGCTCCTGCATCGAGCCGTCCGCAGAGATCGTCAAGGCGCACCAGAGGTGCAGCAAGGCCGACCGCGGCACAACAAGCGCGGGCCGCCGCCAAGTTGGAAGCCGATGACGTCGAGTTTGCCGTCGCCGAGGCTGACGACGCGGAGGAAGAGGATGCTGAGCTCGAACGCCAGATGTGGGAGGAAGACGAAGAAGACGATAGCGAAGATGCCGGCCTCGCAGCGGACGCCAATATACCCATCGAGGAGCTGCTCAAGAGATACGGATACGGAGCTAGCCCTGAAGAGGCGGAAAGCGAGGACAACGACAACCAAGCTGATGCCGGCGCCAGCACAGCCAACCAATCTGATCGAGAGCCCGACGAACAGATGCCGGACGTTGAAGATGTCAAGGGCGAAGAGGCCACGGACGACGACAAGGACACAGAAGCATCGGACGAAGAAACACCCACAAGGGAGGATCGTTCGGCGTCGCTGGCGCTGCTCCGGCAGGCCGATGAATCCGCCGACGAGCTCAGTGATGCGGAATCCGTTGCCACGGGCGGACGTCGAGGCAGCCGTCGTTCGATGACACGCGCCTCGTCCATCGTCTCTTCCGACCGGGCCGTGACTCGTTCGCGTCAGCCTTTCCTACTTCGCGGCCAGCTGCGTCCGTACCAGCAGATCGGCTTCGAGTGGCTCGCCAGCTTGTACGCCAACGGCGTCAACGGCATCCTCGCCGACGAGATGGGCC